TTTTTTAGATTTTTACTAAAAGAAAACTGACAAAAGAAAAAAAGCTGTTGACCTGAACCTATGTGGACTATACATTATATTTACATATAAATAGTCTGAACCAAAGCCTCAGGGACTCTATGCTTCGTTATCACCAGAGAGTACCGCAGGAATGGAGCTCCATAGTGGGGGGGGAAAGGAACCAGCTAGCTCCCCTGGTGAACCAGAGCTCCAGGCACCCGGCGTACCGGTTGAACCTGTGTACCCACGCTTGAACTCCCTCCTTGGGCTAAACAATTTTAAACCGCTCGGCCACAACTTTGTGCCCCTGGTACTCCAAATGGAGTTTCATGTCTCTGGTATTACACTGTGTGGGAACAGAAATTTTTCTAAGTCCCAATATTGAGTACCAGGACCACAGGTCATTAATTTTTCTTAGTCCCAAACAGGACAACATCTCCAGCCAGGCTCTTATCATCTCTGGGCCCTCACACTGACCCCCCCAACCCACCCCCACCCCAAGTGACATTTTGATTCTTTATTGCCACCTCATGATTGATTGTGTTTTGCACCATTGTAGTTATAGTAGAAGTGGTGGCCCTCACAAAGAAGTCACAGAACGTGGGCCATACAAAGGCATAAAGACGTGTATGTGTGTGTGTTTTCAGATTGTTATGAAGTATGGTCGGCAGCGTTGGAAGCTCCGAGGCCGAATAGAGATCAATGCTAAACAGGTGTGGGACAGTGAAGAGGCGGTGTTTCTTCCGCTCATCAATGAGTTTCTCTCTGTAAAGGTTCGTCCCTCCCAGTACTATTTTTTCAAATACTTTGGTTTTTATTTATATTTGTTCTGATTATTCAATGAAAACATTCTGATCTAGGGTACTGCTCCTAATGAAACTAAATTGTCCATGGGTGCTTCATGTTGTCCATTGTGTCTTGTTCTGGTGGATATGAAGAAAAGACAACTGTAGGCACACTGATCAAAAATACGAGAGGAATTAATTTATTAGTATGTTCTGACTAATGTGGTTTTCTGTGGTCTCCTAGGTGACAGAGCTGAAGAGCTTAGCCAGTCACATAGTTGTTGGAAGTGTTTCCTGTGAGACTAAGGACCTGTTTGCTGCACAACCTCAGACAGTTGCTGTGGATATTAATGACCTCGGGACTATTAAGCTGAGCCTTGAATTCATCTGGAAGTAAGTTTTGCCAGCCATGCTGTCTGTATATTACAAATTATTTTGATTTGAGCAAGTACTGTAAGTCAGTCCTCTGGACCTATTTTGGTTTTAGACCACAGGTTGCATGGCAGGAAAGTGCTGAACATGTCTGGCTAAGGTAGCGACAATGTGAGGCAACACCACAATTTTCTTCCAGCATTAAAAGAACACAACACAGTCTCC